TACTCTTAGCTTTCAAACATGGCCAAGTATCAGTATCAGCTGCAGAATCTTTGTAGACAAACTGGTTCCTGGGTTTTGTCTATAATAAAATTAGAATGTTCAGCAATGGAAATGGGGACATTTACTCTTGACAGTACCCTCAGCTGATGTTGTGACGATCAGCCTTTTGCATTTTGGAAACTCCCCCTCCTGCCTTCGTCTTGCAAGCGCTGTGGTTACAGGAACGTGCCACAGTGCCTTGCTGCTGTAACTTGCCTAGCTGTGGGATAATGTTCTTACCTGAATGTGAAGTGAATACTACTGGGTCTTCCTGTGTCTCTGCCCCATGTGAACTCCAGCCACAGGGTCACATGAGGATAAGTAAATGATTCCTGAATGCAAGTAAACAACCGAGTCTGAGCTCCACCAACCAAATGGTTATCATGAAGATTACATTTTTCCTAGAAAAATTTCATGGCTCATATGAGAGAAATGCGAATGGAATTATCTTTTCTGTCTGTCCCTGTAGAACTTGGTGAAGTTCTCACAATTAAGCAGGGATTGCTTAAACTCGATGAGACAAACCTTGTATGCTTCCACCATGAACTTAGGCTTATAAAAGATTGTGCTTTTTTTTTGTATAAAAATGGTATAACACTCTTATAGCTTAATATTACAATTTTTACCATGTTTTTCCCCCCAGTCATCATGTTAAGCTTCTTATGTCTACTACAAATTTCACTCCTGGGCAAGGTATTAAACATGCTCTGAGTAAGAAAAGCCATAGTGTAAGGAATGATATGAATTGATGAGGCCACAGTTACAGGTAAGTGTGTGGCAGAGCCCAAGAATTGAAGAGAGGAAACATCTTCTAGAGTCCCAAGTGACTGGATTCCTGACAACCAGCACTGATTCTTGGTCTTATAAAGAGGCATTGACAAAGGTCAGTGGTGGTCAGGCAGATGGTCGGTGGTGAGATGTTGGGATATGGGACCTAGAGGAATTTCTGATTCTTACAAGTGGTTGATAAAGTCAGTAGAGTAAACTATTTGGATTGAGGAATGCAACAGAATTCAGAGTCCCTGTCCAATGTACCTGTAACATTGTAGAGAAGGAAGATACTCCAAAGGTTCAAAATAATCAGCCATAGGGGTAGGAACTCCGATCGTATGTCATTTGGTGCATATGCTGCTTTTCAGTCATTTTACTGATCACCTTAGTTTAGGTAACATTTTGGCTCACTCCAAAGTGGAGGTGGGTTTTGGAGATGCCCAAAGATGTCAAGTGGCTGGTCATTCCTCAGCAGTGACTGAGCTAGAACTTGAGACCATTCAATGATGTCTTTCTTGAGTCAACATGGAACAATTCCCATTGTCAAGGAGAGGTATTTGGCTCTGGAAGTGGCACTAAAGGCATTTGCCTCTGTGATAGTTGTCTTTCCTTTCTGATGGAGGCAGATTTCCTTTCCCAAATGGAACTAGATCAGAGTCCAAACATTGGAGACAATTGACTTAATGTTAAGACATCTCCTAAGAAATAATGTGACCATGACTTTCAACTGTTAAATCCCAGGTATTCCCAGCACCTGGCAATGACTGTCTGTTGGATAAATGACCTTTACATAATCTGATTAAAAGATTCAGACTCATGGAATTAGGATTTTCTAGCCAGGGCTGAGATTCATGGGCTCAAGGATGAGCAGTTCACTTTTAAAATTAACTACATTTGGACATCTCTCCTTAGGAGTCACCAGATCCTCCTCGCTGCTAAAGTAACCATTATAGTCAACCTGGATAATTCTCACAGAAATCTCAATTCGCGTTTAAAACAGTGTGTTCGTTTGTTCTGCTAGTGTGGTGAAATGTAGATACCTTCATTTAGGTCTGTGATGTGATAATTGCAAATTCCATTATTTCTAAGAGAAAGGTATGTTAAAAATGATGGAGGGAAAGGCTGAAGGTGTATGACTCGACAACTTGGAAATATTCAGCAGGCTGTATTTGTGCAATGAAGCAACTCCAATGTTTTCTTTATTAAAACATTGTCAATACGCTGAGCCTTGTTATACTTACATGGATATAAAATATACTTGCTCTATTTTCTTTAGTAGGTCTTTTAGGTATTTGTGTTGGTTTATTTTATAAATGTATCTTTTTTCCCCCAGGAAAGATACAGAAAATGCTTTAAGTGCTTTTTTGATTGACTTTCAAGTATGAAGCCTTGGTGTAGTTGATAGTAGTTTAATTTGTTTCAGGAATGCTTTACTGTTAATTGAAAGGATTTTTCCTCCCCAGTATCACGGCCAGTGACTTGTCTTGTGCAGCTAATTAGTGCGATTATTCCGCAGCTGCATTTGCTATCGTACAAAGGTTTGCTTCTGTTTTTATCAAAAGGATCAGTCTCTCCAGGAATGTTTGGACCTGACAGGCTTTGAATAGTAAGACCACTTATTTATTTTAAAATAGCCATTCCTCCCCACCCCCTTCATCCTTGGCTTAAGAAAGTACCTGTGAGCTTTGAACACATACTCAAAAGTAAGAAAGTCCATTTTCTTCTGATGCTCTTTTAGTAGATGTTTAGCAAGTAAATAGATTATTTTCCTTGAGTAGATTAGTGGCTAGAGAGTGTTCTTATTGTGCGGATCAGTACGTGGCATTAAAGTAATAAATGAAGTATTACCTCTGGTCACTGCATGTGTAGGAGATGTAGGGGAGAAAAAAACTAAGGGAAAGATGGTTTAATCCTAAAGTTTTTGGAGATATGGAAGTTATAAGAAGTGATGTACCCAATGTAGTTACAGTGTACCTTCTTATTGTCAGAATATTGTCTGTGAATGATCCAGGCTTGTTGCTTCTGCCCAAGGCTTTGATTACCTGAGCCATTTCTTCATGTCCGGATAGTGTCTATTTGCATATATTCTGCCACTGAAAACAATAAGGCTTTATTATAAATTCACCTATAATTGCACTCCCCTATGGCTCTCACCATCTTTTATGCCTTTATTAGTCATTTTGTGTTTTTATACACATATACTGCCATGTACATTGTGAATCAACTTGAAAATGCGCCTTTTAGTCTTATTTTATAATTTATCCCAATTGCATGCATTTCCTATTATGCTGTAGAGTTGTGCAGTTTTTTTAAAATTGTTCTTTATGGAATTCATGTGTCAGAATTTACTTAACAATTCTTATAGTATGTGACAAATTGAAGTGATTCGGAATGTTTTGCTATTTGTAAAGAGCTTTGTAATATAAAACTTTCCACATTTTGAATTATTTACACAGGAAGATTGTCCATTCACAAAATGTCTAAATCAAATTGAAAAAAATTATATAGCTTTTTGATATTTTCTGTAAGGTATTTTAATATATACCAACAATGAATCAGAGTAACATTATCATGCTTTTTTTGTTGTTGTGAACTTTTAATAAAATCGAATCCTATGTTCAGTGCTGTTTTGCATCTAGCTTTTAGAACTTTTGTGTTGTTTTAGACTCATCAACAAATACGTTTATATACCTTTGCTATTATATAGAATACAGAGAATTATATAAATGTATTTTAATTTTCTGAACCAAGTAACTGTGGTGAAAAATAAGAGAACTTGGAGTATAATTGTTACTGTGTGATTTTGCTGGGACTGTGTGAGACTGAAATGTAAACTGTCTCCTGTTCTGTCACCTGCAGAGTCTGAAGGTAGCAGCCAAAGACAGTCAATGGCCACAACACTCCATTGGCATTTGTAGTTAGGGAGTGGCAGTGTTGGGTGTGTTCTCAAGGAAGTAAAATTAAGACTCACTTCCACTAAGGCATGAGTGATTCAAGGGTGAATATGGTTTCAAATATTCTTCTTTTCCCCGTTTCCAGATATGAAGGTTTTACGGTAGCCGTCTTGAGTATAAACTTGAAAAATGATATTGTGAGAAATCAAACAACTGTTCTAGAGTAGAAAATAACAGTAGATATTTATTGGGGCAACAATACATATTGCTCATTATATAGGGGATTTATGTACATTGTTTTATTTAATCTGCACCAAAATCCTAGGAAGTAGGACATTAAAATATCGGTGATGTAATAGAAATGTGAAAGAAAGGAAAAAAAAAAACCTCACATGCAATTTTATATGATTCCTAGTACGGTAACCGAGGCGCAGAGGTCAGTTACTTGATGCTGTCATATAGCTGGCAAGATAAGCAACCAAAAGCTCTATATGAGAAAAATTAGGATGCTTTGATTCTTTATTTGTGACTAATGCTTAAGCTAGTTAGACAGTTTTGGGTGTCTTAAGTCCCCACAAATGGCCTTCCCAAAATTTCACAACAGTCATATCCATGGTTATGCCAAGAGGAATTGGGAGCAGAGTGTTCAGAGAAAATCAGGAGGGGAGGGCTGGGCTGTCAGGCCAGCTTGTCTTCTTCCCTTGCCCAAAGACTCAGGTCAAATTCAGTGTTAGCATTCAGGTTCAAAGGCTTGAGTCAGCAATTCAACAAAGAATTATACTAGATTCTTAAGAATGTTTCCCCATGAAAACCCTGAACTTTTCTTTAAATAATTCCTACTTCGTAAACATGTTAGACCTCGCCAAGGAGTTCAGATGACCAGCAAAGAGGGACTATTGATTCCATTCAATTCTTTTTAAAAAAGCAAACCAAGTAATTTTAAATTTGGAAGCCTGGTGCCATGAAGATGCATGGCTTCCTGGTCCTGCATAGGCATTGCTATCATTGGTGGCAATGATTAGGTGATATGCTCTACAGAACGTCAAACAACAAGAGAACACACTTTGATAATGCGTGCCCAGATGCAGTCAGGCTGACTTATTTTAACTCAACTATGAATGACTAAAATCCTGACACCTCTTGATTTTCATTTACGTTGGAGTACTGTTCGGCACTCATCCTGATTTTTTCCTGCAATCTCATTTCCTAGCGTGGTGCCATTGAGGGTACCCCAATATGCAAACAGAAGGTCTCATTAGGACACTGAATGTTGTGTGCATTCTGGTTTTCCCACAGCAGTTCCGCGGAGCATCCTGGGGCCTCCAAGCCTCCGATAAGCTCCTCCAGCATGACATCACGCATCTTGCTACGCCAACAACTCATGCGTGAGCAGATGCAGGAGCAGGAGCGCAGAGAGCAGCAGCAGAAGCTGCAGGCCGCCCAGTTCATGCAACAGAGAGTGCCCGTGAGCCAGACACCAGCCATAAACGTCAGCGTGCCCACCACCCTTCCTTCTGCCCCGCAGGTGCCCATGGAAGTCCTTAAGGTAAGTGAGCATGGCTCTGTGGTTGGCTGGAGCCTGTTGTGTCTTTTTCTAGGTTTCTAAATTCATCTGAATGAAGATTTGGCTCATAAATCCCTGATCCACAAGTAACATGTTTATTGGGTCTAGATTTTAACATTTATCTGATTGTATATTGGGCCCATCAGTCTCTTATCTATTAGTGTCATCCCTAGTGCTTTGGACATGAATTTGTATTTCAAAAGTAGGATACAAACCAACTGTGTGTAGTAGTAACTCTCAATAAATGGTAGAAACAGGACAATTCTCAATGAAGAGCCTAAAGTAAAAACAGGTGTTTATTATAATGACAACTTTCCATGTTTTTCTTTTGGAAGAATTTCAAGATGTGAAGGTTATCAGAAATGGGCCTTTTCTGATAACATATGTATATATATTTAAAGATCACCCCATGACTGGACTTCAACTTTTTCTTCTTCTTTGTTTTCTTTTTAGTTAGTAAATCGTGTTAACTGTAAAAGCTGACTCTTGTAGTAAGTTTCTTCAGATACAAAAGTGTAGAAAAGTGTTGTGTGCCTTAATAACCAGACAGCATAATCCTTTTACTGACGTGAGTTGTCCGCTTTGAGTTTCTTTGATTTCTTGCTAGAGTAGAAACTGCAGGAGCTTGTTAGCATTATTCTTTTGGGGACATATAGCTTCCTAATTACTAGAGAAAGTTGTAACACATCTAAAAATAGAATATGTCACATATGTGTCTTCTTCACATCAGGGGATACTTCTTGTTTCAGAAAGAACCTTTCAGTTCTTAAATTTGACTTTGCTCAGGGAAAGTTAAAAGTAAAGGAACTTCCTTGCTTTTATTATTATTTTTTAAAAATTTGTACCCATTCATCTAATTGATTCATTATGAAGAAGTGCTACTGTTCATTACAATGTGAACTTTACATGCCAGTGATTCATGTTGATCTTTGCATTCATTTCTGTTCTCAAAAGAAAGAGTCTCTTCTACTTAAAATTTATGATTAAAGCAAATAGAAAGATGATGTGTTATAATCAGGAAGTAGTATGTAATCCTTAACAGGAAGTGGGAAAGGAAGCCTTCACAAACAACCTTAAAGTCAGAATTTATTTGCAAAGATTCTTTTAAAATGCAGTGACATGATAATGGAGCTCTTGGTAGAGAAACTAACTGAAATTGTTAGGACAATCGCTATCTTAATGGTTTATCAAAAAGCTTTTACTCAGACATGATTGTTTAAAATTTTGAATATTGCCACAATTAATAGATGTTTTCCTATTCTTTCAGTTGCTCCCAAGTAAAAGCAAAGTTTTCGCTTTTGAATAGATTAACATCAAACCTTTTTTGGGGGAGGTAAAAACTTATGATTACTAAGTTTTTATAAATCTAATATTTAAGTTGGTTCATAGTTTGTATGACTAATAATCGTTTTGTGTATATCATAAGTTAGTTAAACTTGTATGAGTTAAATGATGAAATGTGGAGAACTGTCTATTTTATTCTATCTAAATCTAAAGAAATTTGTTAGAAGTGATAATAGATTGGGCTAGTAGTGGTTTATATCCAATTTGAAGATGATAATTTGCTTTTGATGTTAGTGTATTAACTTGAAATAAATTCTCCTATGAGGCGGTTACATGTGATGGTAGAGAAATTACTCAGATACAGATGTGAAAAACACCAGTTCCGTATCATCTCATAAATCAACATGATTTTAAAATAGTTAAGATACATTATTTTAAAACAATTGTTAAAATACATTACATAATTGAGTGATCCATCCACTTTTCCTTATATGTTCTATGTGCTCTGGTAACACATTGGATTAAACTACAACATCCTATTTAAGAAAACCAAAAATTGCCCCAAGTTCAAGAATAAATTATTAAAACTAGAAGACAATCCAAACAAAAATGAGTTAGTAATTAATATTTCATGCTGAGTTGGTTTTATCTTTAACTTTTCCATTTTTTTTCTCAGTTGTATAAATTACAAACTATAGTTGATAGTTACAAAAGCATGTCAAGTAAATACAAGATGCCTTGGGATAATAGTCTAGATAGGTTTGGTAAACAAAGGGCCAAATAAAAACAGATGATTTTTTATTCATATAAGGTGACAATCTAAGAAATTCTAATAAAAATATTAAGGACAATAAAAGTGCTTGCCTCAGATATTTAAAGATAGTGCTTCATAAAATTAGTTTACATATTTTCAGTAGTTTTATGTGTGAAAATGTGAGATAATTATTGTAGAAATTGACATAAGAGAATTGTGGTCTTTTTGCTTCCTATTTTGTACTTTTACATTGAGAATGTAATTTTAGGAAGCAAATGGCTAATAACAAAACAATTAATTTGCTTAAACTTATTGTATTTTTCTATGCTCATCCATTTTCAAAGAATGGCTGATACCCGCGTAGTCCTTTGAGTACATGGTATTATCTATTGTATTGAATATTTTCTCATAGGATAAGCCCAAGCCAATTCTGCATTTAAGTTTTAAAAGTTCAAATTGCTGAGACAGAACATAAGTACTTTGCTTCTCATTGGAGGCAAATATGTACAATTAGGCATCCTCAAATGGGCTAAAGAATCCTGTTAAATTTTTTCTTTTCCCATGATTTGTAAAATTTGAGAGAAGAAAGACTCTAGTTAATTTTAACAATACACAAACTTCAAGGTACCAACATTCTACTATCAGTGGGTTGAGTTTCTAGTTTTGAAAAGCTAAATTAGTGTTTTCAGGTTAATCCCTTTCTTTGGCAGTGAGACAGGAAGCTCAGTGAAGCATGTTTAAAAATTGTTGACATCTGGTAAATTTAGGAGTAGGTGGAATCCACATCATTTATTCCTGTAAGTTCATGAAGCCTTACAGAGTTTGCTGGTGGATTCTGTATTGATTTAATTAGTTTGTGGATGTGTTCTTCTTAATGATTTTTATATTGTGTGACAGGAAATGATAAATCTTACTGCTAAATGTCTACATATTAAAGATGTTTGCTCACTAGGTTTCTTGAGAACCAAGGTACTCAAGTATGATAATTCAAGGATGCTTCTTTGCCACAAATCTGACAATTGAAGTACATAATGCATTCTGTTATAGTAGTAAATATATTGTGCATTTAAAATTGGGAATTAATGAAAGAGTCATTACAAAGCATTTACAGAAATGGTTTCTTTTACTACCAGGTTGTGCTGGCATTGAGTCATACAAACTTGGAGGTTTGTAATTTGAATTAGCTTCTTTGAAACAAAAGCAGAGTAACTAGGACTCGACCTCACAGCCACGTCAGACTTCAAAGCTGATGGCTTTTCACGGTACAGCCTAGGAGTTAGCACTCATCCAGCATTGAGTGTCACTGGCTCAACTCTTTTTCAGTTGATTAATTCTTGAAGCATCTGAGTATTCTGATCTGGTAGTGACAAATACATCAAGATTTCTTTCCCCATTACCTTTCCTAATAGTTTATAGTTAGAAAACATTATAATTAGAAAATATTGTGCTCTTCAGAAGATTGTAGTGAATTACCAAGGATTAGTAATTCCCTCCTTCCTGCTCTCCCTCCCTTCCTCCCGTCCTTCCCTCTTTCTCTCTTTCCCTCCCTCCTTTTTTGACACATTTGAACTTAATATTTGAAAAGACAAGTATTCTCCTTGTAACAGACCATTAAAAATTTCTGGTTTGTGTCAGCAAAAGTTCGTACGAATTTAAAAGAAAACAGTTTGGTATTTTTACTCTAATATACTTTATCCTAAGTGATGTGGAGAAGTTTGTAAGAATTCCCTTTTTTCCAATTCATATCAGAAACTGAGCACGTTGTTCTGCAACTAGAAGCAGTAGTTGCTCATCATCAAATACAGAAGCATTTGGGGCAGGCCCTTATGCTGCAAACTGAGTTTAGCTGAGGTGTGTGCTGGTTATCTCCATTTGGATAGAAATTTTGGAACATTGAAATGGGAGTACTGCTTATTTGTCACTTTGTTCTACAGATGACGTTCCTAGAATTTTCACCAGGGAGGGAATAGGTGAATGAGTGGGTTGTTGGTCTTTCTCTGTAAAAAAAAAAAGAATTTCTGCTTACCTGGAGTAGAGTTTTTCAGGAGTGGCTTACTTTTACAGAATTACAGGTGGATTGATGACAGGTTCCCACTTTTGTGAAAACATTGAAACATTAGCTCTAATTGTACTATTACTTGGTAATATTTGCCCAGAATGGAAATGATCTCTCCTTTGCCTACAAGACCATTGGGGGAAAAGAGAGAGAGAGCAACATTCAGTCTGTCCAAGGCACGCTAGTTTGGGGCCTTTTGGCAATGTTTATCAAAGAGCCATACTCTGTAGCTCAAACTTTGGTGGAATTACTTGTGTGACTGTGGAAAGAAGGCAAAAGGACCTCACTCACTACAGGCACATTAATTATGGGCACATTTGGTGGTAGGTTGAACCCTTGATATATTTTAGCTCAATTATACCTTTGGTAGCTAACCTTGTGAGGGAGGTACCCTCTAGATGGTAAAAGTGAAGCACAAGAAGAGGCTCTTTCTGGCTTCTGGTCATAACATTAAGCTTTATAACCTATCCTTTTGTCTTCTGTGTTTTTTTTTTTTTTTTTACAGAGCTTAAGGAGGTATTCTAAACAATTTCTAAACAGCCACCATCAACAATGTGTTACAGCAAAGTGGGAGGCCAGAGAAAAATTGCAGAAGAGTCTCACAGGCTTAGGAGAATATAGGATCTCAGGCATTTGTGATTATTACTCTTTACTGAATGATTAAACTATCTTCATGAGTCCATATGGTATGCTGAATGAAAGAACTGTATGTCTTTTTTTTTCCTAGATAAGAAGCCTGTCTAACCACACTGGCTGCATTGGTAATTTTTGGCTTAGTGATAGTCATCGTTATGAGCTAAAAAGGACTTACAAAAAAAGCTTCTCTGACAACAAGATCATTTAAGTCAACCTATCAGAAATCATATGCTTTATGGTTCTAGACCTTAA